CTGAAGCCCCTGCACCTATAATCTGTAACACCTTGAGCAATTTATTTAATCTGTCCAGCCCTCAGTTTTGCCATCCGTTAGAAATCAGAATAATAATAACATCTACCTGGCGGTGTGATGCAATTTAAATACAAGGCACTTAGAGAATGCCAGGCACTTAGAATGCTGGATATATGGAATTTACAAAAAAGCAATTTCCTGTTTTTCTCGGGCTGCCACTCTCTCATTACCTGCCTGCCCACAGAAAGGTGACGGTTTGGTCACCTCATTTCTGAGACAGGTTCCTTAAGCCCAGCAAGAACAAGACTGGCCCAATATCACACAGAAAGAGCAATGGAATTGAAACTGATTGCTTCGGGGTGACTCGGCCAGTGTTCTCATCTCTCCCTTAGGAAAAGATGAGCATGGCTTGAGGAAACCTGGGGAGGAAATATGACTGGGGCCAGGCAGGATGTAAGTAATACCAAGAACAATGACCAATTAATATGTGCCAGGCACAGTTTTAAGTATACTCTGTGTATTACTTCATTTAAACCTCACAGCAACCCTAGGAGGTCATGACTATCATCATCACCATCATCCGGAAAGAGGAAACTCAGGCTTCCACACTTAGAATGGCTTCAAGTTGGGATTTGAACCCAGGCAGTCTGACACCAAAGATAAAGTGTGCAACTGCTACACTATACTACCATCCACAAGGAAAGCAGAAAGAAAGTAAAGGTAGGAACAAAGGACAAAGGAGCAATGTAAGTTCTTTTTGAAGTAAATAGATTGAAGCAGTGTAGTGTTAGGGTCAGGTCCTAACTTAAAATCAATGGTTTAAGTCCAACCTCTGCTACTAATTATTAATATCTTTGGGCCTCAGCTTCCTCCACTGTAAAATGGGAATAAAACTGTTTCTTAGCATTGTGATAAGGCATAGGAAGAGAATGCATGGAAAGCACCTGGGGCAATGCTTAACCCAAGGTTAATGCTCAGTAAATAGGAGCAATTGATGTCACTAACTACATTCCCTGCAGGATTTGCCTAGCAATACAGCTCCCCATGCCCCTTCTCAGGGAAAATAAGTTCCAAAGGAGAAAAACATTTATAAGCTGTAGGGAAAATTAAGAACTAGGATGAGCAACAATTCCAGATATCCTTCCCACCTCTTGGGTACATAGAGGGGCAGTGGGCCATGGAGGTGGGAAGTGAGCACTAGCATTATTAGCATCACTATCTCCTTCCTCAAGGAACAGATTCCAGCAGGCTGCCCCTCCCCCTCCAGTTTCTGGTCACTTATAGCCTGAGTCAGAACTCTCTTGTTTCTTAAGGAGTTTTTTTTTTTCCTATGTCCTTTTCACATAAGTTGCTTTATTTTTTATATCACTCCTATTAGATATCGGGAAAAGAGGATGGAATCTCACATGTGTTGAGTGTCTTCTATGTACCAGATGGAATGCTGGACACTGTCCATCAGTGATTTCATTACATCCTCACAACACCACTGTGAAGTCATCCTTACTTTAAAAGGGTTGTCCTGAATCCAGGGTGGGTTGCTTCTTTTCTCATGTATATTGTCCTCTCATCCCATATATCCAGCACAACCCTGGCCAGAAGTTGTGTCCTGCTGAGGGTTTCTTATAAACCAGAATGTTCTGAAATCTCACTGTCCTCAACACACTGATCTCTGCATAATCCCAAGGCCCACAAATTAAGAGTAATTTGCCCCCAGTGGATCTGAGATGAAATTATGACTCTGCTTACTAACTGTACGATTCTGTGCTCGTCACCTAACCTCACCTCTAAAATAGGGATATGGCACTTCCTACTCCACAATGTCATGAAAATTAAATAACTTTCATAAACTGCTGTCAATTGGGCCACTTCATGGAAACATTGTTAAAGTAGAATCATCAGAGGATGACTGGGTGGCTCAGATAAGTGTCCATTCTTGGTTTCGGCTCAGGTCATGATCTCTGGATTGTGAGATCGAGCCCACCTCAGCTCTGCTTTCAGCACCAAGTCTGCTTGGGATTCTTCCTCCCTCTCCCTCTGCCCCTTCCCCCACTTTCTCTCTCTCTCTCAAATAAATAAGTAAATAAAACCTTTAAAACGGAATCATCAGTTAGCTTAATCTCAGAAAAGCCCCCCAGAAGAGCAATAGAATGCTTATATCCCTGACATTCAATCAGGTAGGACACCAGATCTGCAACTGTGGTTGGTGACTTTGGGAATGTTGGGGGACGAAGACTGCAGAAATCCCCTGGAGTAATTGTTGAGGTAATGGCCTTTCACTATTACCAATGTGTCATTTATATCACCACAGAGACATCTAAATCCTTTACAATCACATACTTCTCAAAGAAGTTTCATCTACATCGTTTCATGTGACATTTACTAAAACTCCCAAGAATTGACCTTTATCATTTAAATTGTCCCATGTTTTGTTACCCTTTCCCCTTCCTGGAAATAGCCCATCAAATTTACAAAATCCATCCCTTCTTCCCTTCAAGGTCCGGTCATTACAAAGGGCACACTTTGGCCCAGAATCCAGCGCTAAAGCCCCAGATCAGTGTTCTTTCTGCTTTCTGAATTCCCACAGCACTGTGCACCTTATACTACTTGGTATTCTAATCGTTTGAAGATTTTATTTATTCAAAAGAGAGAGAGAGAAGAGAGAGCATGAGCAGAAGGAGGGCCAGAGAAAGAGGAAGAGGGACAAGCAGAATCCCCGCTGAGTGGGGGGGGCTCCATCCCAGGACCCCAAGATCCTGACATGTGCTGAAGGCAGCTGCTTAACTGACTGAGCCACCCAGGCCCTCTAGTCTTTTATATACTTGTCTTAACCTCCACCCCTCTACCCTACCTTTTTACTAAATCCGCAAACTCTTCCAAGGGAAGAGTGAAGAAAGAAGGAATGATTTCCTCATTTTATGTCAGTCCCACTTTAAGAAGCTTTTTATGATGAAAATGTTCACCTGTGTATGTTTTATATAAAGCAGAGGGAATTTATAATGAACACCCATGTACACATCACCCAGCTTCAACAATTAGTAACCTATGAACTGTATTATTGCATCTATACCTCCACTCCTTCTGCCTTCTAGCACCAGATTAAAGTAAATCCCAGACAACCTGTCATTTCATCCATAAACACTCCAACAGGAACTCCACCTTTTGCATTTCTGTGTTCCCTACAAAAGGAAGAGCATTATCATCTGCATCCCCTACTACCGGGAGCACATCAGAAGATGATTTTGGAGGACCTACTGTGTGCCAGAGATTGTGCTTGGCTCAGGAGGTTCTGTCTTGAGCTAAGGAAGTACACCAGAACCAAGCCACGATGTTCCAAACCAAGAATTGTTACAGTTCCAGAGAGGGAGGATGTGGTGCACGTGGGTGCCCAGGAGTAGGAATAAAATTATACTGACTGAATTGAGCTAAATCGGTTTTCTCTCAGGGAGACCCTGAGTTCGAAGAGGCCGTGAGACACGGGTTCTCCAGCAGGAGGCGCTGCAAAGGCTGGAGTGCGGTGGAGGTGGAGGTGCTCGCTCTGATCGGCTTCTCCTGCAGGAGACCTTAAGACAGCAACCGCGGGTGCAGACTGCAAGCAAAAACTCAGTTTAATAGGCAAGCAGGTCTCTGAGCGCTAGGGCTTGAGAGGGGCCCCAAGGTTCAGGTGTGGGGCAGAGGCGTGGAGGGAGTTGGGCAGGCTGAGCACCTGCTCCCCAGGTCATCTTAACGCTACCGGTTGTTCTTGATTGCCACCAGTTCCCGCTCCAACTCCGGCTGGCTCTTCCTGACAGAGTATCTCGGAGCAGGACACAGGACACAGCAAGGAAACACCTGTTTCCAACAAGAAAAAAGGTGGGAGGAAGCCCCCACCGGGCTTCCAACGGCCTCTCATCGGGTTTGCTCTCAAGAGCCTTGTGAAAGCGCGCCCAGAACGCCAGTGGAGATCATTTTTCAAAGAGAGCACTTTCTATTTCTTTTCCCCCCATACTTTTCTTAAGCTGTAAACGTCCCTTAAAAAAAAAAAATGTCTTCTTTCCTCCGTGGGGTTTCCCGCTCCTCCCAGACTCCTTAAAGACCCCGCCTCGGTGCGGGCAGGGACCGCTACCACCCCCATTCCCAAATTTTGCGACTTAATTCGCTTCCGGATTTTTCACTTCCTCAGACCCCACCCGACCTACAGGTGGGGAGTGGGATTGGGGATGGGCAACAGAACAAAGAAACCAAGTAGCCCTAGTCCCGGGCCAGGCGCCCTTTCTGCAGTTTTCGACCAGCTGGGGAACAAGAAGGGCTCAGCAACGCATGAACCCCCAGCTCTGGTCTCAAGCCACCTTCCAAAAGCAAGGAGCCTGAAGACGCGTGGGAGGTGGGAGCTGCCCCCTCGCAGCCAACAGACCTCCACTCAACAGGCCTGAGCGGCCGTGGGCGCCAACAGTCTCCACGCGCTGGGCTCCGTTATTTCATCAGCAGTTTCAGAAAAACCTGCCAAAAGCAGTTATGCCTCACTGCAATGTGTAGCTTTTTCCTGCCATTTTTTTTTTTCATAATAAAAGAGGGAGTGAAGCTCGCTAGCTCTCTCCTCCCTCACCCCCTCCCTTCCAAAAAGAGCCAAATGGATACAAGGGGGGAAGAAAACCCCACACACCAATCTCTGAGGGGATGCCAGTGAGGTGTGGCTTGTATTTAAATATCCAATATGTCAATGTAAGGGGAGTGGGTATGTATATAAAGTGTTGTTTGCATCTGATAGCTCGACGAAGCCAGCTATGAGAGGCCTAGGGAGATGGATGCGTAGGGGAAGCGCTACTCTGACTGCGAGCAAGGTCAGGAGCTCGCTGCCCCGCCGCTGAGAAGTTCCTTGGACGCGAACAGACGTCGACTGCGGCTAGGCAGAGCGCTGAGGGAGCGAGCGAGGGAGCGAGCGAGAGCCGCGGAGTCGCCCGCGCTCGCTGAGGGGAGAGGTAGTTCGCGCCCCGCGGCCCCGGCTCGGCCCCGCGCACCCCGCCATGGCGGAGGTGGGGGGGGTCTTCGCCTCCTTGGACTGGGATCTACATGGCTTCTCCTCCTCTCTGGGGAACGTGCCCTTAGCTGACTCCCCGGGCTTCCTGAACGAGCGCCTCGGCCAGATCGAGGGGAAGCTGCAGCGCGGCTCGCCCACAGACTTCGCCCACCTGAAGGGGATCCTGCGGCGCCGCCAGCTGTACTGCCGCACCGGCTTCCACCTGGAGATCTTCCCCAACGGCACAGTGCACGGCACCCGCCACGACCACAGCCGTTTCGGTGAGGACGCGGCCGGGAGGGACAGGAAGCCCGCGGACGGCTCTGTGGGGAGCCAATGGCTGGGGCTCCGGCTCGGGGCCCGCGCGGGCCGCCCCAGCCCTGTGCAGTCCGGGTCCGTCGAAGCGGGAGACCGCCAGGGACGCGGGCCAGGAGGGATCAGACGGCGCAAACTTGAGCCGCGCGGCGTCGGGGCGCCTGGCACCCTCAGACGCTCTCGGGAGGAGGCGAGGGCGCCTTGAGGTGCGGCCTCTCTTCGCCCCACTCCACCCTTCTTCCCTCCCCCGTAGCCAGGGGATCATTCTGACCCGGGACGCTGCGCTTAGCGTGAAAGCAGGTGGAGCCGGAGAAGGGGTAGGAGAACCGGCCCCCCCGCCCCGGGGAGGCCAAGGAACGTGGCTGGGAGCGGGGCCTCGCGGGCAGCGGGGTTGTCGCGGCCGATTGTCTGCAGCGGAAGCCTTCCTGGGCTACGGATGGGGTGGGCGGGCGGTCCGCGCCGGGATCGCTTTTGGCGGACGGGAAACTCGGCAGCCGGCAGCTGTAGCACCTGCCTGCCTCTGGCTTTCTCTGCCCGGGGTGGAGGCCAATCTCAGGCCGCAAGGCATGAGCTGGGTATTGGAGAAACTGGGGACGCCTTCCGCTGTCCACTCTGGAAGGGCACGACCCTAGGACAGCTTTTGCCTGGAAATACCTCTGGACTCCTTGCCTCACGGGGAGGAGATGGCCTGGGCCCGCTCCCAGCCCCAGAAACAGGTGTCTCCTGGGCCCAGGACCGGAAAGGCACAGCCTCCTGACAGGATTTTCTCGGCTCAACACCCGGCAGATTGTTGAGAAGGCATAGGAGCCTGTCTCACATTCAAAACATACTTGGTATAAACCTTGATGTGGGATAGAGATCATTAGGTTTCTAAACAAATGTGTTCATTCCTCAGTAATTTGGCCATTTTTATTTTCAATTTCCTATTCTCTACTAAACTAATTCAGGTGGTGTGACAGCTACCTTTACTTGGGAGCCCCATCCCCCAATGCCCTCTACTTCTTCCCAAGAATCCTATGGCCCAAGGACACCTTCCATCCCTAAGCCAGTAGGGTTTTTTTTTTTTTTTGCCAAACTTCAGGAATGATACCTGTTCCCTTCTTTAGCCTACCCTCCTCCCCCATTCTTCCCCCCAAATCTCCCCCATCCTCCTTTTCCCTGCCTTGCTACAGTGCATCTGGAGTGCACTGTAAAAGGCAGGGCGGGGGTGGGGGGTTTCCAGAGGCCAGTGCTTGGGCAAGGCCAAGTCTAGCAACAAACTTAAGGTCAGGGCTGGTCTTCCTTGCTGGGAGCAAGCAGGAACCCTAATGAGGTTTATGTCATCTTGGAAAAAGATGCTCACAGAGCTGGAGGACAGTGGGTTGTGTGTGAGGTGGGAGTAATGGAAGGGTGCAGGTGTCTGTATAAACTTTCAACAGGTCCTCCAAAGGGTGATGGGTGGGGTCAGGGAAGAGGGAGTATGAACTTGGCTCCTTTCCTTTCCATCACTCGTGACTCTGCAGTTCCCTTTTGTTCCTCAAAAGGAATGGGACTCCCACCCTGGTCTCAGAACCTCCCAAAGTCTCCCAGAAATGGCCTAAAGATATTGGAGTAACTGATTCCTGATATGTAAAAAGAAAAATTGTGAAGTGATGGAGAAATGGCAGGGTGGGGAGCACAGCAGAGATGGAGAAACTATGAGCTTGGCTTCCAGCTGCTAGTGTTTGTCTGACTCTGTGCCTAAGCTGAACCCAATAACCCACAAGGTCAACATAAATTAGTAATAGGCTCTTGGGATAAGTGGTCTTTAATTACCTCCCTAAGGACACATCTTGATTTCTTTTCATCTCTCAGGCCTACTAAGGGTAAGTTTAAGGAGAAAGCGAAGGAAATAAAACTGGCAGGAGGAAGGGATGTTTTCATTGCCACTTAACTGACTGCTTCATTTTTGGTTTTGCCTTTTAAAATAACACTGCCTGAGACCACCTCTGCACCACCTTTTCCCTTTCCTCCTTCCCTGGCTTCCTGGCAGTTCCATGTATTTCCTGTAAAGGAAATGATAACTAGTCAAAGCTGTCTCTTTGTAACCTCCCCAAACGACTTTCAAACACACATTTACTCTTTCTCCCTTTAGCTTTTGGCAAAGAGAGAGGTGGCGTTTGAGTTTGCCGACTCTCCTCCCTCCACATTTGAGTTAATCAACCAGAGTATTCAATAAATCGAAACTTTAACATTCCATAAGTGCTTTAGCAGTCCACATTCCAGCAGGGTAAAGTAGGCCAGACTTAAGATATAAAATATTATAGATTTCTGCTTGGGGGGAGGAGGTAGTCTCCAAAGGCCATGTAAAGTAAATAGCTATTTGTTGTAATTGGAGAGCAGGGCCCCCAAGGATTACCCTGGAATCCATGTGTTCAGAATGAGTCGAGTAGGGCTGAGCCCAAGAGCAGCCGTGACTCCGAATAATAACCTGTTGGCATAGCCTCAGCTCTCCCCTCCCCCACTCCCTCTGCAATCAGTAGTCAGGAGTATTTCTGTCTCTGCTTGGATGGTGGCATTTACATGGGGTTCGCAGGGGTATTGACATTCCTGAGGGGGCACCTGTAGACTGGCGGAACAGAGCTAGTGGGCCAGACTGGTGGAGAGGCCTCCCACCAGGTGTGATGGAGCAGGCTAAGGAAGCTGCTGTAGGTTTTGAGCAGTCTGGTTCTTATTTGTCGAGATGCCAAAGCAGCACCGTCTTAGCTCCGAAAGTCTGAAAGGATGACTGAGGGAGCCCAGGCAGGTCCTGGAACCAGATTCAAGGACACATTAGCCAACCGTCTAGTGAAGTTCTGGAGCAGTGGAGCTCAGGACAGATCTGTTTTTAACTGAGGCCAGGGGGAAAAAAGATGTAAGAAGAGTCTGGAGATTGTCAAGCAAGGCCGGAGCCTGAGGTGGGCAGGTCAGGATGAGGCAGAGTGGAGGGAGGTCCTGGACCTCGAAGGGGGTGAGAGTACCAAGGACAATATGGCACTTTGCTGTTAATAGTCCTCTCCAACTGTAACAGGGAAAATGTGAAAATGGCTCGTTTTCTCTCTCCCTTCATGCTGGCTGGGATTCAGGAGGTTTCGGAATATCTGTTCCATCGTCATGTGCAACTGGGTTCCCACAGTTTGAATCCAGCTAATAGGAAAGTTGGCAGAGGAAAATGATGCCCCAGACAGCCGGGCAGGGATGATTCCAGCTGTTGGAGACCCCTGTTATTGGACACAACCCAAGTGACTTCCTGTATGATCTGTCCTTTGGCATCAGGGTAAACAGAGAGTTGGAGAAGAACTGTGGTGACTCAAATGGCCACACCTCTTGTGTTTCATGATTTGTTCTCACACCAGGTCTTGGACGGTGAGATCACAAGCTGCCCTCTGCTACTTAATGAGCTCAGGATGGTCAGAGACATGAGATACTTGGGGAATGAGGGAACTAAGACTTGAAGCTCAGAAACGATTTGTCTAAGCAAAGGAAATACCCCAAGGCTCAAGCAGGCTGGTGTCTCTCAAAGTTTAGCACACAGAGCTGAAACAAGGACCCAGTTTCTTCTTTCCCTACCATACTGGCCACTCACCTTTGAACACACTCCTGTTTTTCCAGAGACCTCTTTAAACATAGTAGAACTAAAAACAGCACTCTCAGTGTGGTCTAAGGTGGAAAGGAGTGGGGCAGTCTCCTCCTTTTGGCCGGTTACTAGACCTCTATCCATGCAGCCTTTGATCACATTAGCTTTTTTGTTTCTTTGTCTCACATTAGCTTTACAATAAATTTTAATTTTTACTTGACTAGTTCTACATCAGCGTTTTAATATCATGCATCACCCATACTGAGCTTACCTTGTTCAGTCAAATCTCCCGGTCATTGTTAGAGATGTTTTGCTAAGCCACGTCTCCCCATTCCAAAGGTGGGCTGACTTATAGTTAATGAAAATGCATGGAAACGCAAAAGAATAGTATGTGTTTTCAAGTGAATATACATGGTTGTTTGAAGTGGGGAGAAGGATGGGAGCACAGTACAGAAATAAAAAGAAATAGATGAATATAAAGCCCTTGCACAGGCCAATTATGATAATAGGCCCTAAGATACAGAGTATGATTAACTCAGCTGTCTGCACTTGAGGCTCACCATCCATTCCCCAACAAAACCCAAGCACAAAACATCTTGAGTAATCGGTTTGGGGACCAAAGCACAGGACTTTACATTTATTCTAATTAAGGCTTATTTTGTTGGAGTCAACTCATTTTCCCATCCTCCTGAAACCTCTTTGGATTTTGATTGTGTCACCTTCTCAGCTGTACAGTTCCTGGAACAAGGGTAAGCGGTTCCCCTATGTCCTCTTACAAATCATTTATTAAAATGTTAAACAAGGCAGAACCAAAATCAGACACTTGCACAATGCAACTAATGGTTTTGATCCATTAAATCACTTCCTGCTTCACCCTTACTTGACACGAGCTATTTGCCTTCTCCCACCATCTTGTGTCAGTCCCTTTTCCCAAAAGTCCTTTCTTGTATTATAGGAGTTAAGAACAAGCCAACTGAGAAAAAAACCTAAGGGAGTTCGATGTCAGAGGCCATACAATGGCAGCAGACCTTTGCATTCTCCAAAGACATCCAAGTGAGCTGTGGAAACATGTACCCCCTAAAGCTGCCACATCTGCACATTCATCCACCGGCCCAAGTCACTTTTCAGGAGACTAGCCACTGGAGTTTTGAATCCAATTTCAGAATCAACCACTTAATTTTTTAAGTAGCCTTTAAGGATCAGTTCTACTCCCTATGTAGATCACAGAGAATATTATTACCCTTAAGAATTGCTTTTAGGGGGTAAGAAAAGCAACCAGATATTAGCTCATTTCATACCTTCAGATGCCTCTGTGAGTCAGTCATATCAAGTTTTGGTCTGTACATTGGAAAACATGGTTAGAAACCAGAATATCAAAGGGGAATCTTCTTGACCATTCTGTCTATAACTGTAGAGTAACAGGTGTACTATCTTGGGACAAAACTGTAGTCCTCAGCACCACCAGGATTTAAGTTCTGGGTCCTTTTTCCCTCTTAGAAGTTGATTTCTTTCTTTCTTTCTCCTGCTGCTGGGTACATGAAAACATTTTCAACTCCTCACCTCTAACCTTGCCAGCTAGAGGGATGTTTCTGAATGTCTTCCCAACTTTCCCTTTAAAGTTGCAACATCTAAGATCAGTGTCAAGTCCGGTACTACCTGCCAACTCTTTGCCATGGATAAACTCAAAATTCTAAAGAGACAAGGGGAAACTGACAGGCTTGTCAGCCTGAGACTGCCTTGGCTGAGAGCATATTTTAGGAGAAAGCTCTCGCCAGGCCCTGGTTTTTTTTTTTTGTTTTTTGTTTTTTGTTTTTTTTTGCCTTCTGCCTTAAGAAGGAGACACAGACTTAGTGAGTGGACTGTATGGCCTTTGTTAGAGTCAGCCATGGGTAGTTGACAGCCTCATGTGGCTTTAAGGACATGGGAGCTAAGAGGGTGCAAAACAAATGCAGCCTAGAGGACAACAAGGTAATGCTGTGTGCTCTGTGGGAGAGGGAAGTGACTTTGCGAAGATACAGAAATCTAGCTACATTCTTCCATTTTGAAAGCTCCCCTCCCATTACTCGAAATGGTGGTATTAAATAGTACCTTGTAATTATGGAACTTTCATAGCCAAAGCCTGTCCCTGGTCTCTTCCTTGTAATATCTCTGAGTGTTGAATAAGAGATTGTTTCACCCATCTCACACAGGGAAAAACTGAGGCCCAGAAAGACTCAGTACATTTTCTGAGGTTCCATCCTTGCTGCAAAAGATGGTTTCATAAGGTAACTCACCGAAGGCATACAGGGCTGGCCTCCGGTTGGGGATCAATGACTGGTAGCTCACGTCACCTGCACAGCTCCCTCTGAGCTCAACATCGCTAATAGAAATGGCATTCACTTTTTTGCTCTAGGAATCCTGGAGTTTATCAGCCTGGCTGTAGGCTTGATCAGCATCCGGGGAGTGGACTCTGGCCTGTACTTAGGAATGAATGAGCGAGGAGAACTCTATGGGTCGGTAAGTTGAAGGTTTTCTTTTCATGAGAGGCTATCACCACCAGTGTTTGGACTATGTAAGGCAAAAACATAAAACACTGACCTAGCACTTGAAATACTTCTATCAACTGTGAGGGATCAGTGCCTTCTAGGTGCTTCTTGGCTGCCCAGGAGCTTGCTGTATAACACTCTCACTCCTTCTGTTCCCAACAAAACATAAGCTTTTTTGTGGCAACTTTGCTTTCACCTCTTCCATTAGACAGCCAGCCAGCCTGGCGATAACCATAAACTGTGCTGGTTTGTCAACCAGATTGTGAGGGTTTGGGGCATTTACACTCCTGAGGGGCACCTTGGAATTTTAATGGGTACTTGGAGGAGTAGCAGACAAGCTGGCACAAAAATTGGCAGTGGAAGCACTGGTCCTCAGATTGAGATTCTGAGATTGAAACCATAGTCCCTGACTTCCAGACTGCTTCAGCTGAATCCCAGAGGCCAAATGAAACACACAAATGAAGAGTGAGTGTTCTAGGACCTGGTGACAGCCCTAAGTCCCCAGCTAGGATGGTGTTGGCTGCAGTACATGTTCTCTATTCTGGAAGCTAGCCTAGAGCTGGGGAATGGTGAGTGGCTTCACTGATCTTAACCCTTTCAGGGGATCCTAACTCCTGGGTTTGCCTTTTGAGTCCCGAAGCATGCTTTCTGGCTGCCTGCACCCCAGGAAATCAGAGCACATTTTTCCCTGACACCTACAAGATAGGCCTGTCCCCAGCACTCAGTATCGGCCACCCCAGCAAGTAGTATGCCAGCTGGATCAAGTGTGAGAAGGGACAAAGACAAGAGACCTGCCTCAGGAGTTGCTAGCTTGCGGCAGCTAGATTAGAGGAACTTTTCAAAGAGATCTTTCCAACTGACAGGCCTGAGACCCCTCATTAGGAGAGATCATAACTCACCTCCTATGGAGCTTTAGATGGATCCAAGGCCTTTGCCTGTTAGTTGGCGTGGTTGACTGTAATCTCAGTGGATTTGACATTGTTTGCCCGAAGCAGGGAGAAAATTCTGGTGCCAAAGGAGCATTGGTAGGCCATCGCAGAAATTCTCAGGCTCAGAGAGCCCGGCAAGGCCATCTCCTTCAGTCTCCTGCCTTCAGGAGAGATCTCACCTAAAACATTCCTGTGCGGTTCCCGAAAGAGGATGAAGGCCTCAAAACAGGACTGTTTTGTGCTATTTGGAAAGAAGATGCCTTGGGAATACTGGGAGATGGGATGGAAATTTTCAAATATCAATGTGCTATTGCTATTTCAACAAGCTGGGATGGGAGAAATCGTCATCTAATAGGCTCTGCTTTATTTTCTCACCCTTACAGAAGAAGCTCACACGTGAATGTGTGTTCCGGGAACAATTTGAAGAAAACTGGTACAACACCTATGCTTCCACCTTGTACAAACACTTGGACTCGGAGAGACAGTATTATGTGGCCTTGAATAAAGATGGCTCACCCCGGGAGGGATACAGGACTAAACGACACCAGAAATTCACTCACTTTTTGCCCAGGCCAGTAGATCCTTCTAAGTTGCCCTCCATGTCCAGAGACCTCTTCCGCTATAGGTAATGGAAGCCTAGTGTGACCTTTGTGACCCCTGTACCCTAGGGCCACAGTTGTCTCCACAAGCACTATACTCATAGCTTCTCAATCCTCTTTCCTACCAGTTTAGATAACAGAGGAGCACTTCCTGTTCAACTCGATCCAGCTGTTCCCTTGTTCAAAGTGTATATCAAGGATGGGTCATTTGGGGGAGGGAAATGGGTGGAGGGGGTGGGCTAGAGGGAATTTGTATATACTATTTTCTTTACTCGTGTTCTTCCCCCTGAGGTGGCACAAGAAAGAATGGGGGCCCTTGCCAAGGGCCAGGGTTATCTTGCCCCACAATCTACCCAAATACTTTGACAATGGGTAAATAAAAGACCGAGGAATCTGGCACGGATGCTATATACAGAGCCTTGGGAAAGTCTCATTAAAAGTCTTGGGGCTGTGACCTGATGCAGGCCATCCCTGCGCTGGCTCTGGAGATTTCTCACCTGTCCTGACATGCAGTTTTCTTGCTGTTAGAATTGGGAGATGGGGTAGGTTGGGAGAAAATGGTATTAAAATGTAAGCATGGATACTGTGCATATGGACAAACTATTTATGAAATGTATATGCTATTTATTTTATATATTTATTTATTTCAAAATAATTTTATTTTTAATGAGAGATGCTATGACTGGATTTTCATCAGAAAGAATAAGGTCCTACTGAAACAGGATAAATGAGTTATTAAAGGCTTTTATTGGCAATAAAATTTTATATTGTAACCATGGTCTAATTCCACTGAGTTGTACATTTAGTAGGATTAGAAGGTTGGTTAGCTTCTCTCTCTCCAACTTATTAGAATCTCCTGATGTGAACATCACACTACTTCGCCTAGATGACCCATCACCAACCACACTAGCATTATTTAGGGGCCTTATCTGAAGTCTTTTCTGGTTCTGTGACTTTTTGTTTGTTTGCTTCTTTTTTTATTATGTTCAGTTAGCCACCATACAGTACATCATTGTTTTTTTATACAGTGTTCAATGATTCATTGTGTATAACACCCAGTACTCATCACAACACATGCCTTCCTTAATACCCACCACCTGGCTACCCCATTTCCCCCACCCCTTCCCTTCTGTAAACCTCAGTTTGTTTCCCAGAGTCCAGAGTCTCTCATGGTTTGTCTCCCTTTCTGACATCTCCCCCTTCAGTTTTCCCTCTCTTCCCCTATGGTCCTCCACGCTATTCCTTATGTTCCACATATGAGTGAAACTATATGATAATTGTCTTTCTCTGCTTGACTTACTTCACTCAGCATGATCCCCCCCAGTTCCATCCAAATCGAAGAAAATGATGGGTATTCATCCTTTCTGACAGCTGAATAATATTCCATTGTATATATGAACCCCATCTTCTTTATCCATTCACCTGTTTGAAGGGCATCTCAGCTCCTTCCACAGTTTGGCAATTGTGAACACTGTTGCTATGACTTTAAACTTAGTGATGAATCAAAGCTTCAGGAAGGCCTGGACCAATGGCTCTCACAGAAGCTCCTATTTGTGCTTATGACAAGGCAAAGAAGAACCCTCCTTTGGGATTTGGTTAGGGATCAAAGCCTGAAGGTCTTATGAAGATATGAAGATGGAGGGATTCAAAATAAACAACAATCAGGAGGGACACCTATTTTTTTGAACCAGTCAACTTCCCTTCTGGAAGCATTCTCCCACTCCCTCTCCAACCCCTTATCCCCACCCCCTCCCAGTGCTTCTCCTAGAGAGTTTTGGGAAGCTGTTAACACACTTCCCTAAAGTACACTAGACCCGCCAAATCAGAAACTCTGGGCAGGGGGTGAGGCCCAGAAATCTGCATGTTCACAGGCCTCCCAGGGGATTCCTTTGCAGGATAAATTTTGAAACTTAGTGTCCTAAAAGAATGGTTTTCAAAAAGAATTCTTTTTGCAGATGAATGGCTTATAAATAAAGTTTTAGGATAACTTTTGCCCATAAATCAAAAATAGAGTTGCTTTAGTTCAAGTGGAGTTGGCATTCCTGGAACTCCCTCTTCTCCAGAGGAGCCCCTGAGATATCTTGGTCTAAGATCCCTAGCCTCTTTACTGATATTTACTCAGATAGGAACATGAGGTTATTTGAACTTTCAAAGCATATGCTGTCAGGAAAAAACAGCCAAGGGAGGAAAAGTCCCATTGAGTACTCAGACACCAGAAAGGACTGGCAGGAAAGGGTTTTAGGTTTAGGCTAGCTCCTTCTGACACTCCTCAGTCACATCATGCGGGCATCCATTGTTTTTCCAGCTGATTGTGGGGACAAAACAAATAGCTTAGGTAGCAGCTCACTTAAAAATCAAAATCATAAAGTCTAAAGGCTCATGCAAATCTAAGTACCTAACAGAGAAACCACACAGAAGAGCATATATACATGAGATAGCATGTAAGATTATATGATAAAAAGTGCTAAGTTGCGTGATTATGTATGATCATAGATTAGAATGCTCACCAATGGATCCACCAAGATGAAGATCTCACAGGGCTAGGGCGAGTAGGGAAAGTTTCCTGAAAGGGGTCATGCCAACTGTGAAGAACCAACACAATTTGGAGAGGCAAAGAGGCTGATGGCATGTCTGTGTTAAGCTGCAGGGATGAGACATGACCTCTAGAGGTCTCTAGGATAAGGGTAAACATCAGCAGTGTGATGTTTTTATCACATTTTTAATGAACATCACACTTCATTTTTTAAACCAAAATTTTACCTGTATTATCTGTGGTCAGCTACCTATAACTTTTGATACACATCCACAACTTCTGAGGACTTGTGAGATCAATGGAATCTGTTTGGACCAATAGCAAGCGGGCACTTCCCTGTGAGTGAGGCCAGTGTTACTGTAGTAAGGTACTTAACATGAGCCTGGCAAAGCCACAGCATGATATTACAGGGCAGAATCTGTAAGGAAAATGCCACTGTGATGAAAAAGGTAAAGGCTCCAAATCTTAGGGTTAGTCCTTACCTTTCTCCTCTCAGTGGAAGTACAGGGGAAAAGATTAGAATGGTGTAGGGTCCCAGGATCCAGGGGTCCAGGAGTTCACAGGGTAGGCACTCTTGGTATTGAACTTTAGGAATAACAGTGAATGGGGCAGGTGGCTGGAAAATGTCAATGGGCAGCTGTTCTCATTTTCAAAAATATGGTAACTAACATATGTAATTTAGAAAAAAAAAAAAAACCCGTTTCTGTAAGCTAAAAATTTAAAAAATAAGTTGAGAGCTAAAAAAAAAAAAAAAGATGGGAAAGGTAAATTCTGGAAATGGAAATGTAAGATAGATGACCTATTAGCATGAGATCAATTGACAGCTGATTGACACCAGTTTAGAGCTGATTGCTCTAAAGTGCAAAATAGATCTTTTGTGCTGACCGAGAGGGAATTTTAGAGTAGTAAACTCTAGACCTTTGGTTTTGAATGAAAATATGTTCAGAGACCATTTCTAATTCATCTTTGCATCCTCTCCCAGTGTTTAGGGTATTCCTGGAACAAAACAAACACTTAGGAAATGTTTGTTTGAATAGACACATGATGGGTTGAAAAGATGAATGAGTAAATGAATGAATGGACAAAGACATAGACACCTTTTGTAAATGTGTGTGTTATACAAATGCAGGGCTAGAGAGAGAAAATACATTGTATAACATAATCATCTGAAGTGATGTTAAGTCCAAGTATACTTACATGGGCACTATGACAAACTACAGGGTGTCTCAGAAAAGGTAGTGAATTCCCTGTCACTGGAAGAGTTTAAGCAGAAGTTAGACAACCTCTTGACAAGGATTTAGAGGGGCTGGGGTGAATACCAGATTAAAATGGCAGAATGTGGCATTAGTTACTGATTCTATATTCCCCAGACCCCCAGATTTGTCATGAACACCAATAGTGCTCCAAGGAAGAGTATATAAGATCCCGCTAGGAGTGCTACCCAACTGCTATTCCATGCAAAACAAAACAAAACAAAATCAAAACCCACATTTGGGGTTCACAAGGTCCTTAAAGGTCCATGGAAGTTTCCCTGAGATTGAACTCTCAAAATAATACACCAATTTTTATGTGTATGTACATTTAACCTTTCATTGGTTATTGGAGAATCTCACTGGAGAATCTCAAAGATTCTCCCAAAATGTTAGGAACTACTACTCCAGGAGTTTCCACAGCCTCAAAGCACCTGGTATAAGAACTGGTGGCCCCTTGGCCACTGTGATCCTCCAGTGAAAACCTTGATAGAGGCTTTAGGTTTTTTATTTCAAAGATGCACATTTTATGTGTGAAACCTTTGACTCCTGTCTTCTAAGAGATAGCTTCAAGTTTGGTGACAGGGAGGTGGAAGCAAGGGGAGGAAAGAGCTAAGGGACAGCTTAACTCCTCCCATGGTTCTGAAAAAAGCTCAAGCCGGGACCAGCCCATACAACATTCCCAATAGCAACCAGACTCCCCTTCCCCACCCTGCACATCTCTCCTTTCAACAGCACTGCCACAGCTGAATGTTACTCATGCTCAAAAAACAAGCAGAGACTGAACCCACCAGGCCCAGACACAAAAAGAGCTTATCAGAGCCATCAAAGCAGACTCCTTCCCAGAAGAAATTTAATCAAACTCTTGAAATAATAGAAGAATTTGAATTTATCTACCTTCAAGTCACTGTGGTGCTCAGCCACCAAATCCTTGGCTGCATGGTCAGAAATCCATCAGGGTCAGAGTTCTAGTGGGACCACAGGTCACATGGGCTCAGTCCAAGTTGCCTGGACTACAGACCTAACCTTCTGCTGAAAAGGCTGGCCCTTGGGGGCTGCTTTCTTTCTCTGTGGAGTCATTGGAGCTACATAGCCTTTCCCCAGCACTTCAAGAATAGGGATCTTTTGAGAAGGAATGTGAGAGGGAGAAGGGGGCCAGAGAGAAGATATCCTTTCCTTTGGAATGACATATTCCCCATTTGTCATTTAATTCCTTTGCTCTGCAGAAGAATCAGTACATTCTTAGA